TTGTACATCAGAAAATGGAAAATGCGCCTTGAGGCATACGTACCAAATATGCCAAAGATGTCTACAAAATTATCTCAGTTATTATTAAGAAACTGATTATTTTTGAAAACTTTGCCACCCTGTATCTCAAAATTTAAGGCGTTTAGGACATACGTCCATAGGACGTTTTTTCTTTAAAATGGGTCTAAGAATTACTTCCTCAAATATTAGCATGTGTTTAAGGAACACCCTGTATACGTCACAAGAATTATCAAAATATTTCTTTTTTTTTGTATCAAAAAACAGGTTATATTGAAGGGGTTATATTTTTAGGAGTGAATAATTTTTGGGAAAGAGAGTTTTTGGCATTGTACTACTCCAACTTGATACAAAAAAATGTGGGAATCTTCCAAAGAAAGGAAGGGAGTAATAAATTTTAGAATAAGTAACTCTATAAATTGATGTGTAGATCGTGACACTGAATTTTTCATGCAATATCTTTCTATCTTAATTCGATTTCATGAATAATGTCAAGTGGTTCATCATATCTCCGTAGTTTGGGGCTATCCATAAATTACGTCACACTTTGAGGGGGTGGGAGGGGGCCGACAAAGTGTGACATTGTGTGACAAGGGTGTGAAAGGGTCCTTAATTTGGTGACGTCACATTTCAAAATATATTATAATCCAAGTGTTAAAACCTTAACTATTAACGAAAAACTCAAAACTATTTGCAGTGATGGAACTATTAATTTGGAGTTAGAAAAACGAAACTTATTACTGGATAGCTTGGATAATATCATAGTCTGGAGAAGAGCCCATCAAGAAGAGATTGGAAATTTGGGTAAATCCATAAGTGATTTTTGATACAGTTCACACAGTACACCATATTTTGAGTAAATACAAAATAGTGATCATTTTGCAATGCATTGTAACTTATGGCATATTTGTCACCTGCAACATTTGATTATTTTCAAGTTGCCATTTCTCTTCTCATCGATTTTAAGTTCTAGTGGAAATTTTATCGCTATTGTTAGTGCAAAAAGTTTGTAAAAATTCGTGATTTTTACCGGAGAGCATCAAAATTGATGATTTACATATAATTCATTTCGTAATTTTTTTTTTCATTCCCTTGCTGCTGCTTCTATGGAATGATATAACATTATTCTCATCATTCACTACAGTGCAGTGCAGGCATTATGCTGCATTATATTTGGAGCCAATTGGTCATTGATGATTTTCCTGTGGTTGTCGAATACATTGATACAACTGAATACGCAAATCATGTGTCAATCACAATATTTATTACAACTAGTAGAATGCGAGGCTGTCTCATGTCGTGGTGGGCGAAGATCTAGTCTTTGGCGACTATTACGAGAGGGGTTTTTACCACCACCTGTTTCAATTAATCAGACGTTAAGTGAGTATGTTACCATAGAGAAAGATGACTTCGAAGCCTAATTCGCTGCACTGTTACTTCAGCTAGCTTTGGATCTCCGAGCGTCATCATTTTCGAAGCCAGTTCCGTATGATAGCTATTGCACCAATGTCGTGGCATACCTGCGATCATGTGGCATCTATAATCTAATTAACACAAACAATTACATAAGAAACAACAAGAAGTTTTGTCCACCGCGAAGATTCGTCCCTAAAGAATTACTGCTAAACGTGCCAGAGAAATTGTTTGTTTGGATGATGACGATGATGCTGTATGGTTAGATGAAAACGAATGTTCCAAACGAGAACTTAGTCGCTGCTATGCCAGTTATGAATACCTCAAAGGAGTGGGTTCAAAGTCCATGAACTCAAGATGTTCAGGTTTGATCATTAATTATTTCAATTAATCTTCTGTATCTGTGAAGTAGGGAGGATGAGTGTAAACCCACAGCACTTAGGCCTCATGTGACCCATTGTACATCTTCTCGAGGAGTTGTCCTCCTAGGTCATCGCCCATCCTGTCCTTTTCAGGAAGGTGTACATCCTCGAGGAGTTGTCCTCCTAGGTCATCGCCCATCCTGTCCTTTTCAGGAAGGTGGACAGGTCACTGGGAGACATCTCCTTCATATCGACAGGTGTAGGCCAAGACTCGCCGAACACACACTCTCTTATTGACGTTTACTCCGTACACACGCACAGGACATGCCTGACAGTCTCATCTTCCTGTTCACACATCCTGCATAGAGGTGTGTTCACTAGCCCCATATTATGGAGGTGTTTCCTTAGTTGGCGGTGGCCAGTCAGAAATCCTACTGTTAAGCGTAGATTTTTCCTGGTCATCGCCAAATATTTCTTCGGTGCCAGTTTCTCAGGGTCGCCCAGGGTGATCCTGGCAATATTGCATCCTTTGATTCCATGCCATCTCTTTAGGGATTGAGCATAGGTGTAACATTTGGCTAGTTCCACAATTGTCGAAGTCATCAGATCGTAGGTGCCACTGAGTCCTAAAATTTTTAGTCCAACCGCTTCCTTGGCCGACTCTATAGAGTCGGTAATGCGATTGCCTTTACTCCTGTCGTGCCCTTTAACCCACCTCAGGATAATGTTATTATCTACCGAGGCTTTGGCTAAATCTTGGTGGCACTCTATAATTATTCTTTTTCGTTTTGTTAATTTCTTGAAATGTTTGATTTGATGTTCATTTTATCAACAAATTCTGAAACTGCTGTTTCAATTCAATAATTATTTCTAGATGTAAAATTGTAAAATATGTGACGTCATACTAGGCAGGGTAGTCCGACAAATATGACCAGCTATGACGAGGCAGGGGGATCAAAAATTATTAAATTCGTGTGACGTAATTTATGGATGCCCCCTTTTCACAGTGTCTTTTATTATTCAATATTTGTGAGGAAATAACTTTGAATTGAAATGCTGTCAACTCTTCAAAAATGTTGTGAATTAAATCTGAAAGCAAAATTAAGAATTTCAGAAAAAAAAAATCATTTTGTGCAGAATATGAAAGAGTCCGCAATGACATTACTCAAAATTCTGTATTCTTTGTGTGATTGTTCTAAAATAAGGTATCTACTCACCAGCTCTTCATCATTCAGGGTAGCCCTGGGCACTGCTGACGTCAATCCGGCATTCCTCTTGGTAGCGGCCATTGTCTGCACAAAAAACAAGGCTCAGTACAATCAGAGGGGTTTAATTATTTCTGCGTAAGCTTTCTATGTTGCGAATATCACCTAAATTGTGCATAAAAACCTACCGTTTCATTCCGTAATGCTTTGTTTGCTAGAGCCAAGCCGTAATTGCAGGAGCTGTGTTTTTTTTTCATCCTGAATTACGCCAATCTCTTCAGTTATTCTAAACTGTGTTATAAAGCCAGAGCATGGTATCAGTTCTCTTGTTTACTGTGGAGCTTAAGGGAAATGAAACGAGTGCTTTATGGTTATGGGAGCGGTATTCGATTCGAAGGCAATTCATATTAATGGGACGTCGAAGATAGGGATGATTTGTGCCTATTGATGGGGCGTGTTTGCTCAGAAAACTCTTTTCTTGATACATTTGTTGATTCAACATTTTCAATACTGAATATTTTCGGCATTGTTCATTTTCTGAAAATTTTCAATTCTCAGAGTTTGAGTCTGAATGATCTTTGCATGGCATTCGAACACATAAATTTAAAAAAATGGGATTCAATTAAAAAATAGCTCTGAAAGTTATTGTCAAAGTTCATTAGATTCTTCCTCAAAAGTTGCATCATGTATGACCTTCATATAATATACATTGCTAGATGTTTTCTGAACTTACTTGCATGCAAAGTATTTCAAATAAAATTTGCTCGAATCAAAATATTTCTAAGAAAGAAATCTTGACAAAAATGATAATTCAATAAATTTCAAATGACTCCGCAAGACTGTATTTCACAATATCTCAATCGATGATGAAAAACTGATGTGACCAATGATCAATTTTATCAGTGTGTAATGGACCTTCAACTGTTGTCTTTCAACTATGCATGAATTTCATCAACATTTTCTCACCATTCTAAGGGCCTTTACGATTTGAATCTGACAGTTTTAGTCACCCTTCAAGAGTCTCGAATTGACTCCGAACAGTTATGGCGGGTGAAAATTCAAAAAGTCATTCAATTTTTCCTTCATCTGATTTTTCAACAAGGTTTCATTTGAGTTTCAATGTTTGTAAGTTAGTTCGAATTGAATTTTGCAACTGAATTCTGAAACATTTGTTTTCCACCGATTAAGCTGCAATGACGATGACGAAATGTCGTGAAGTAACTTGGCTTGTAATCTTTTGATTTTTCATTTCATTTTCAATTGTTCAATTTTTCCCTTAATTTTTATTTTATTGTAATTTCATTTGAGGATTTTTGCTTAATATAATTGTTATTTTCAGCTATTCAAAATAAAAGGTTCAAATCAAAGCGCTTTCAGATGAATTGGTAGAGATTTTTTTTTACTTTTTGAAAGATTGGCCAATGTTGGCGAAGCATAGTTACTTTTTTTGGTTCTGATATTCTAACATCGGGTTGCTCAGAAGCCAACCTTTATATACAGTATAATTTTCCCTTTTTTTTTTGGAAGTTTTTTTCAATCTTCCCGAAGCTGATAGTACATTTATATTAACACATCTTTCCGAAGCTACAATAAATAATAATAATAATGATAATATTTCTATAAATAATTCTCGAATGTTCTCCTTTGAGAATCTTGTCCACAGTTTTGAATCAATCATGATTTAGGAAAGTGCAACAGTTTTTCTCACATTATACAATCTATTACACAGACCTTTTTTCTATAGTTTCTTCTCAACGGTTGATGATAGAAACAGTTTGCGGTGAAACTTGACTAAATTTCTCTGATAAAAATTTGCTCAAATGTTCCAAAAAGGGCAATAAGAGCACACGAATTATTTGAGAACAAACTGTTCACAAAACTTTCCTCTATATCGATGCGTTAAATGGGGTAATATTCTTGCAAAATACTTCGATATTTTCAATACATCGTTGCTTACGGCCAAAAAATATTGAAAACCAACTTTTATAAATTATAATTCATTAATACATTTAGTCAATAACTATTAATCAGTTTTCATTGTTATTGTATTTAATTCTGACTCATCCTTTGTTTTAGACACTATGTATATGTGTATTACAGGTTACTTTTGATTTATTGATAATTCAATCGTGTGGCTACTGTAGTGGATTTTTTGTTTGTACCCCGAATTCATTAACAAATAATAAAACACTGGAAACGTTTAAGTTTCATGAATTTCTCATAAATTGCATTTTTTTTGACGTCTCCAGTAGTTTTTAATGAATAACAAATGTTTATTGAATGACCTGAATTTTTTTTCACATTTAAATTTCCAGTACCCCTTCAGTTTTTGTTTTCACTGGCATACCGTATCTATGAATGAAATTTCGTTTTCACGTAGTTCCTTGCAACAAACTAACGAGTAAGAAATTTCAGGAATTTCAAAGTTTGCTTGGAGATCATTTCCTAATAAGTGGTTGATGATAGTCTCGTGGAACATTTTAGACATCTCGGGAGAATTTTCGTCGAGGTAAATGAAGAAATTTGGCACCACTAATTAATATGAAATTCAGGTGCATTCCTTGACTAGCTGAGTGAAACTTTATTGAAATATTCAGCAGGCGAACTTTATTACTTTCACTTCTAATTCACTATTGCAAGTGAGATTTTTCCAGCTGAAATAGATCGTTGATGATGGTTCGAATAATGGCGGATTGGTTCAAAAGTTTTTTCATCTCTATACTTTCACAGCATCACAGTAGAAATGCTGTTTGATATTATAGGTTATCTTTGTCAAACTCAAAGTTTCTCATTATTATTACACTCAATATTGATATTGGCTGCCATATTATTGAATATACAATGAACTAAACCTGCAAAATCAATTAAGGAAACTATTCATTTGAATTTTCTCAGGATCTGAAGTGATTTTAGGTTTCTGAAAATTCCATTTTCTAATGTCAAACTTGAATGCTTGTTCTTGTTACTTCTTCTTATAAAATTCAATGGTATTACCATTGTGTACAAATTGAACTGTGGAAGCTGTCACAAATGATATGTTGGTCAAACCGGACGGTATCTTAAAACACGAGTTTCAGATCACATGAGAGACTCTAAGAAACTGAATATAAAAAAACGGCACAGCTCTCATTGAGCATGAAAAAGAATATGGACACATTTTTTATTTTGATCATTCCACAATTCTAGATGTTCAACCATAATTATCTAAAAGACTTTTGTGCGTTATCCTCAAATGCGTTAGTGTAACACTAGAAGAGATGTCGATGGCCTCAATACTGCATATTTCAATTCGATACGTGAAATACCTGAATAATTACCCGTCCATCCTGTTACCAACTGAACTAGTTAACTGGGTATTACCGTCATTCGGAATATCTTCACGAATCACGATGCTCACCTTTGACTTTCACGAGTTATGGCCACATTTCTCGTTCGTTGATTAATATATTAATTATGGAATCACACGTTAAAAGGTAAGACCTCGGCCTTAGCTCGAGAGTTGACGTTCGTATGCGGGCGACAGCTGATTAACGGAAAAACAGATTTTAAACAGATTTTTTTTAAACAGATGAAAATATTTTATTCCACAGCAATATACGTAATATTTTAGTCTGAAGCTGGGTAATAGTTCTTCATTGATGTTGGGTGAGTATTTTGTGAATATAAGTAAATACTTATGATAAGCAAATTGCCAATTTTTTTTCCAGTGTTTGAAATCATTTGTATGAAATTATTGTATGTGCTCGTTTCATTTCCCTTTCACTTTCAGTGAACTAGATAAAATGTCATTTTGGTATTCCCCTGATATTGTCACCTTATAAAAAGATGTTTCAAAGAAATATATCTTGTCCATTGGTACAAGGCGGGAAATAGGAATTGGCAGGTATGTCGTGTAACTACTTCTGAAGAAGAAAAAAAGAAATGGAAGACTGGTCCTACAACATGCATCTGGTTAGTTAAACTCGTGCTTCGAAATCGTACCGTCGATTTTATTTAAGTGTCTCCCTGTAGAAATAATATTTTGAATAGGTGGAATTTCAATCATTTTCATTAGGAATAATCATGCTGGGAAATATACATGCAGCTCATGCGTTCATAGCTATTTTCAGTGTTCACTGGGTAAGTCAAATAGGCCGTTTTCTCTCAACTAGAATAGAGGCGATTTTTTCAGTGTCTCACACAACTCACTATGGTGAAAATTTCAGTTCTCAAAGTTATGAGGCCATTTTTCTATGTATGAAAAGAACGTATTTTTATTGTCATTTTCACTACAAACTATTCTAACGACTTCCGTTGTCTAATAAGATTATAATATGATCTGAAGTCTATGAAAGAACAAATAAAATTAGAATGAATAGTTCAAATATCAATTATTCATTGTAATTTTATTTGTTCTTTAATAGATTTCGAATCATAGGAAAATCTTATTAGACAATGAGAGTCCCAACTGATAGTCATTAGAAAACTTCGTCAGGTTTGCTTTATATTATATTACTTATAGAGAGTTTTCCAATAAGAGGTTTCGAAAGTTTTTATTCGCTACTTTTCTTATCTTGATTTTTTTCATTCGATGCATTGGAAAATTCAGTACAATTTGTACAGTTGAGCGCTTTACAGTAGAACAACTACTAGGTCTTTTGTGAGAGCCACATATCGAATTCGTGATTACTTTGTTCTATTCAATCGTTCTTCAGAAGCTGGGATGATTGTCTGGGGTGAACATGGGTGATTTGCTCTACTCACCCAGTCGACCGCTGTGTGAAGCGGTGGTTCGAAACGCAGGGCCGGACGATCGATTTTAATTTCCTTTCATTCAACCCGTGTAAGCAATCACACGTTAAAAGGTAAGACCTCATTAGTCCTTCGCTTGCACAAGTTTCGATTTTTGAGAGTTGGGGGCCGACAGCTGGTTAACGGAAATACATTATTTTTTAACAGAACAACTCGCAAAATAGTGCATAAATTCGAAACTACCGGATCTGTACACCATATAAAAACACAAGTACGGGAACGTGACCATTATCAACAGCCCAATCGCTCTCAGTTACTGCTGTGCTCAACGGCTAAGCTGGCTGAACGTGTCGTGCTGCAAAGGCAACCAGAAGAAGTTGACGTTCGAAATGTTCTGCAGATGAACAATTCGGCTTCAGAAGGGCACATCCCACCGAACTGAAGGCTCTGAGACTGGTTGAAAACTCCATCTCAGAGCTAAGCAACAGAGAGACATTCCACCTTTCCTATTTGATATTTCAAAAACTTTCGACCGTGTCTGGTAAGAAGGCCTTGGTTTCGACCTGACTCGGGGCCTAGTCTGGTGGATTGGGCCCTTTCTGGAAGGCAAAATATTTCAAGTCCGAGTCGAAGGAACCATGTCCCCCATCAGGGATATCCAAACTGGAGTGCCTCAAGGAGCTGTCTCCACTACTGTACAGCCTTTACGTAAGCGACCTTCCGAGTTTCGACCACGTGAAGGTTTTCCTTCACGCCGATGACACGGCTCTCCTCGACTCTTCTATGGGTCGTGAGTTGGAAGATCTAAGTGAATCCATACAAAACAAATGGACAAGACCTAACGTTTCTTCGAATGCGAGGGTAACGATCTCAGACAGGGAGAATGAATGACAGTCTCGAGTCAAGTACTTGGGTCTTATGATAGATCGTGGTCTCACCTGGAAATACCACGTCAAGTCCACCAAGAGCAAAATTCAAATGAGGATGAGAACAAGGTATTGTTGTATAGACCGTGGTCTTATCTGGAAACAATACATTGAGTCCACCAAGAGCAAAATACAGATGATGATAAGAACAAGGTTTTACTGTACAATACGATGTTCAAGCCTGTCATCATGAATGCTTCAGGCCCTTGGAAACAAACCGCCCCGAATAATATTTTAATTTCTGGAAGATTGCATAATAAGATACTACGGATGCAGGTGGATGCTCCATGTTGAAGAATCAGGGAGTTTTCGAGTCTGCGGAAACTCATGAAAACCCATTAATTAAGGAAACCGTAGATTATGCTACAGACAACCCCTTATGATGTAGAAGGCCCCACGATGTCTGTAAAAAGTTTGTTCATCAAATACCTCTGTCAGAAAGGTGTGAACAGGGCCAGAACGGCTTAGGGCCAGGTCCCTTTATTCCGCAACCAACCTCTCTCAGTCATAAAACATTTGTCGTCCTGACATACAGGGTAAGGAAGCCAGTCTCCATCTGAGTTAAACGAAGATGAGCAATTGTCCATCTCGTTCGTTTGAGAGCGTTCAAGTTGTTCGGGAAATTCAGGCTGAAAATCCACAATTATCTGTTGAGAGGCGTTCACAACATCAGGACGTCAGCAAAACTTCGATATGGCGAATTTTCAAAAAGATTTAAGTCTACATCCTCACAAGATTCAACTTAAACAGGAGCTAAAGCCAGCAGATCATGGACAATGTCCTGCATTTAGGAATTGGATCCTATAGAGGAAGGCAGAGGACAATCATTCTTACAAATCATTTTCAGTGACGACGCTCATTTCCACTTGAACGGTTACGCATGCAAGGAAAATCTTTGCATCTGGCGCAATGCAATTCACGAAAAGCTAATGGACGCTCATCGTGTGACAGTTTGGTGCCGTTTTCCGACTAGGAGAAGACGAACGAGCTGTTACAGTAAACGGATAGCGAAACCGATTGATGATTGATGTTTTTATAGGATGGGATGTTGGACATGAATGTAGAAAATACATGGTTTCAACAAGACATGCCATACAGTACGAAAACAATGAATTTATTGCGTAGAAGGTTTCTCAAGGAATGAGGACATACATTAGCCACCATGATCATGACATTTAATGCCGCTGAATTATTTTTGTGGGACTGTGTGAAGAGCAAAGCTTACGAAAACGATTCCCTAACCATTTAACAATTGAAACAAGAAATTTCACAAATGATTCGTGACATCTCCACAAATATGTTTAGAAGTAATGGGATATTTTAACAAAAGGATTGTGTGCTGCCAGAGAAGTGGTGGTTTGCCAGATATTGTATTTCACATATAATTGTGCTCTGTCTAGCCTCACTAGGTACCATAAATACATTTCAGGTATGTGATAAAACTTTCCTTTCATTCGTTACCAACATCGAAAACCTCTGAGTGGAAGTACCTACCATAACATGAAATTTTTTTAAAAAAAATGCAAAATGATCGCAGTCGGTAGGATTCGAACCTACGCTCCCAGAGGGAATCTGATTTCTAGTCAGACGCCTTAACCGCTCGGCCACGACTGCTATATATAATTTTCAACAATGTTCACACAAAAAGAAACAACAATTTCCTCAATTTTTACATTGAATATTACTGACTCTCAATGTTAGTTGCCCTATCATTCTTTTTTCACTTATCTTTATTGCTCTATGCATTATATTTAATCTTTTTTTGGTGATGAACCCTTAAATTCTTTCTCATATAAACAAACAATGTTATACAATTTGAAGAGTTTACCGTTATACAGGCATGAGTTGTTTATACCAGAAAAGCAAGATTGCTTATAAAATTCATTCTTCAACCGGACCATAGAAAAAAGTCGAAAGGAATCAGTTCTACTCATTCATGTATGAACAATGTCTCTAGAAGTTTGATGATATAATTCGACACTTTGTAATGCAGAGAATCGAAAACGAAGAAGTTCCGAATTAATCGATGTAATGGAATTGTTCAGGCTCTGTTTAATCCTCATACCCACTATAGTTTTCACTTCACAAAAAATTATCAAATACTTTTAAAATTGGAATATTAGAAAAAAATAGGTACATTTGAAAATAAATTCCACTGAAAAATTCAAAAGGGCGCTACTTATTCTATTTATTTCATCAGTTTAAATGATGATTGATTCGGCCGTTACCTGATGAAGATCCATAGTAGTTTCAAAAACTACACCTTACGATTTGATCTTCACAAACTTTATTTTCAAAAAATATATCACATGTTTCCTTATCACAGTAGCTTTTTCGTAGCTTTTCACTACGAAACATGTCGTGAAAATGAAATTTGTGAAGATTAAATGGTAAGGTGTACCTAGTTTATGAAAAAAATTGATGTATTTCATTTTGGAATGTATGTACCTACATACATGTATGAAAATCTACGAAGAAAAAAAGAAAAAGCCGCAGTCGGTAGGATTCGAACCTACGCTCCCAGAGGGAATCTGATTTCTAGTCAGACGCCTTAACCGCTCGTCCACGACTGCTGTAAATATTGGATTGAAAATCAGAATTCCTAATTGAGATCATAATTCCGAATCGAAAAACAGAATTCCAAGTCTAAAATCAGAATTTCGAGGGCAAATTGGAAATTATGGAGAAATCAAATTTTATAGTGTAACGACCCTTTTACGCCTTGTGTTTAATGGTTACTGTTGACCATGAAACGTTAATTTTTACCCCAATTTATTAATTTGTCTTTCAATGCATAACTAATAATTTTTGGACTTCAGTTAATATTTTATTATGGACGAAATAGGGCATTTCGCCGTTCAGGTATTTCAATAGACACTATGAGAACTTGTGTGATTTCAATCAAAAGAACCTTTTCTTAAAATTTGGTACTCCTATATACCTACTTTGCAGATAGTAGGTACCTTACTTCCTAGATACCTTGTATTAGAAAAAATCACCTTGTTCTAAATTTTTCAATTATGATCTCACCCAGTTCACACGACATGCTGACCAAATAATGTGACTAGTCTACAGGGAAATTCGATGAAATTTCATTTCGGAACATTACTCAGTCCTAACTGATGTTAAAATTTGTTCGTAAGTTTCAGTTGGTTGGGTGTACTTGCTCCCTTCTTTCAGGCTATTTCTTTGGGCATGTGCCTAGATTAAATGAGGATATTTATTTATTTAGATTGTTGATTTGTCAAAATAATATATTCCCAGATAATCTCCAGATTTTCAGAATTCTTCCAAATACATGACCAGAGTTATGACCTACCAATCAGTTGAAAGATGTGTCGCTGGAATTGAATTGATTTTTCTGTTCAAAATATTATATTTATATATTTTTTATGTTAGGGAAAGTTAGATAGGCATATATTTAATACTTATTTATCGATGACTTTAAATTCATCTGATACTGAACTTTCAATATTTTTCTACGCTCTGCTCATTATTGGTTTCTTAATGGATGTTATGCGATGAAAATGGTTTCTAAAGAGTGGGATTTCAGTATTGCAGAAACTGTCGCTTTATTCCATTTGACACAGTAAGTTTGATTACAGACTCTTCTTCTCCACCTCGATATTTTATAATGTGACCAAAATGAATAATATGCCAATCGATGTAAGGTCTGCTAACGTGTATTTTGCAGGGACGTATAAAATTTACACTGTATTTAATTTGTTCCAGACGATAAGTTATCAAATCACTTTGATAATTTACATTTTTCATGTTCATCATTCAGCTGTATTTTAAAATTTGAACCCTACAGATCACGTTCCGTCAACAAGTTAATATTATGAGAATGAATTACATTTTCCAAGATTTCATCAATGTAATATTATCATTCCTTCTATCTAGGTATGTTTTCTTTTGAATATTATAGATATTTCTTTGACTTTTATTTTGCGAAGCTTTCATTTCTCTGGTTAATCTACCAACATAACTTGTAGAGGTTGGACCTAAGCCTCCTCATCTCTGAGTTTTATTGAAAATTTTTGTTCATGATCGCAACAACTCATGTTGAGATATTTTGAAAATTCAGTTGGACGATATACCTCCCCCTTCAATTAATGTTATCTTAGAGGTACCAAATGATAACTGAATCTGGTTTTATCAGGAGAATCTGAATTCCAACTCCATTTCAGTTGAACGGTGTTGAAAAACTTGAAATCGCAAAGTCTTCAAAGTCTGTCAACATATCCACATCTTCTTTTTATAAAACATCCTCAACAATCCTTTTCTAGGCAAAAACATTCTCAAAGATGTCAAAGAAGTTGCAAGCACACCCAGCCGCATATTGTGTTAGTAAGCCGATGTGAAAAACTTCAGTAAAATGCTTGTTATTGCAAATGATTGTGGACCAATACCTTGAGCACCTGGAGAAGTGAAGCGTCGCACAGGACAAACCATCAAACAGAGAACAAACAACACAAACAGATTAGTAATAGCTGAAGGAGAAGATCATAGTTTTACACATCACATTTAACACTCAGGGGAAATGGGACACTATGTGACGGTAGCGCCAACGACTCTATTATTATTGTCATCGTGTTGCTGCAATTATTCGTTACGTGTAGCCCCAAACGAATCACTATTCCAAATAATGTCGCAACAATATCATTATGAGACGTCTGTTTGGTATTGCCCTCGGTGAAAGGGAGTCTGGCAGAGCTAATTTCTCGCCGAAGGGTGATGAGATGGGTATTTTGCACCCTCTGAAGTGTTCGAGATTGCCGGTGTTAGCTAAATAATTGTGGTTCAATAAGTGATGGCAAGAATAAATTTGACGGTTTTTTGCAGAACAGACAACGGAGAAGTTTTCAGTTTTTCACTACAGAATAATTATGAAAGTTAAAGTAAAATAGAACAAAATTGTGAACGAATTATCAAACTATCTTTACAATTAAGAAAGTTATATGTAATTGAGGTTGCGTCTGCAAGAATAATTTCATCCAGCGTGTGACGTCTAACGTTTTGTTTCATATTTCAAAATCAATTGACTTAATTTAACACTAAAGTGGTCTTGAAACTTCTCCATTCTGCGTTGAAAAGGCGTTGGAATTCGTCAATTTTAAAATACATTTTTATCATGGAAATTATAGCTTTCGAGGGTCCTAAATCAAGTCGATCTCACAAATGTTTGGGAAATATGGAGAATTATATGTTCAAAACATCAGATGAAAATAATAATTTTCGAAAGTCAATAAACATTTTTTTCATGTTCGAAAACAATGATTTGAAATTTAGCGACACTTATGAGATTTTCACTATACAGGGTCCTGCAACAGTGGCGCGGTGTTCCATATCTCTATATAGGAAGCAGATAGGAATCTAATTTTCTATAATATTACCTTATTGCTCGAGCTCGATATAATAAAAATATTGGCGGTCACACAGGGTGTTCGATTTTTTCTGGGCGGATCCCAACTGTGTCTTTTTAAATGGCAACCTATATTTTTTATCGCTTTTTCGGTTTCTTCATAGAAAATAAAATAAACTTTATGTATATCTGCACTTCGAAAATATTGATGGTTTTCGAGATATCTAGCATGACAGGTTTTTTTTTCCAATATTCGTCACTCAGAATATTTGAAATTATAAAGTGGTGCCAAGTCCAGTTGAAATTTTTTTTTGGTCGAATATTCTACATTGGTAACTCTCTCAAACGATATATCTGAAATCGACCTGTGATATACAGGGTATGAAAAACCGCTTGCCAAATATTGTAAATGAAAATTTGCAAAATCTTCCTTAT